TCTGTTCCCGTACTGCAAGAATCTACTACTTTTTACTACGATAAGGGGAACAGACCAAATTTGAACGCAAATCTAGTAAATATGCCAAAATTAGTTGGCAATACTTCAAAATCAACATAACAGCCAATCAGAAGTAAGCATTCCTGTTAGCAAAGAGTTCACAAAGAGAATGCCATTTTGTTTCGTGCTCTTATAAGTTTGATTCAATGTTTTACCAGTTTTGTGGGTTCAGGTTTTTATTTCGATCTAGTATTACTGGCAACATCTAGATTTACAATTTCGTGCTATTCGTGCTTTTTCTTGAAGCAAATAGAAATTGCTTTAAATTTCATTGTGATTCCATTTTTGGCTCTTTTTCGATGTAAATAATATTTTTTTATACTGCTGTGTATTTCTTCTTATTCTCCTTAATCTGGTTCTGCTTCTAAATCCAAGTTCAGGAAGGCTGCGGCGTGTATCGGTTGAGTCCAAAGAGAATATGGGGTTAGGTGAGTGGGTTTGGCTGGACAATTGAATAGGTGTCATGTGGTCCATTACCACATGCCGGGCAGATATTAATGACCTCTCCATCAATTCCTCCTATCCAGACGTCCGATCATCCTTCCTTCCATGGTTCGAAAGCGACTTAACGGTTGCCCACAATTTACTCACTCCGGTGCTGATGTTGCAACACTTCAGATGTTCTAGCCACTTTTCCGCTAGAGTTCGCCGACTAACCTGTTCACCTTCAACGTCAGTTCTCTGATTCTGTGGTGAGTACGACGAAGCTCATCACGCTCATTCGCTATCCCGCTGTCTCTGCTAGGAAGTTTGGTCTTAGTTCGATTATACGACCCGCAGGTATATAGCGAGCGACTGTAGCAGTGATGATGTTCCGGAAATTCCTTTCTGCAGTTCTCTGAAGCGACGATTGGTGAAATTCCTGAACTCTTGCAAGTAATTACTCCCAGACGGACGCGTTACAAACATCATTTTTATTTCAATCAAATTTTAATATATTTCAATATATTTTGAATTTATCTATATATATAGAAGAGATGCGTTATAAATGACTGACTGATCATTAACGCCCAGACGAAACGGCTAAAGCTAGAAACTTGAAATTTGGCATGTAGGTCGGGTCTGGTGGGTAGGCGTGTGATAAGGCGGGATTTTTGGAAATTCGTACTAAAAGGTACTAAAAACTGTATTACGAGGGACCGGTTAGGTTTAGACTGATCATCAACGCCCAGACGAAACGGCTAAAGCTAGAAACTTGAAATTTGGCATGTAGGTCGGGTCTGGTGGGTAGGCGTGTGATAAGGCGGGATTTTTGGAAATTCGTACTAAAAGGTACTAAAAACTGTATTACGAGGGACCGGTTAGGTTTAGAACTTTGAAATTTGGTATGCAGCTATGCCTACGATAAGCAAAGTGGTATATGTGAAAAAATTTTGGAATTTAGTACTAGAAGGTACTAAAAAGTACTAAATATTATATTTAAATGGAACCGGTGGAGATATATATCTGAAACATGGTATGTAGTTTAAGCTATTACAAATAGAATGATGTGCAAAAATATTTTTTTGGAAATTAGTACTAAAACTGTGTTACGCCGGAACGGTTTTAGAAATTAGTACTAAAGTGCTACGAAAAATTACTAAAACCTGTATTACTTCCGAACGGTTGAAGTAGAACTCTGTAATGTGGTATGTAGATTTGTCAATGATATATAAGCAAATCAGAATGTGTGAACAAATTTTGGAAATTAATATTAAAGGTACTAAATTGTACTAAATATTACTCTACGCTGGAACAGGTAGGGATCGATATCTGAAATTTGGTATGTAACTTCAACTATTACAAATAGAATGATGGACAAACATATTTTTTCGAAATTAGTACTAGAATATGTATAAAAAGTTATAAAATGTCTAAATGAAAAACTTCGCATATAGCTTTAACAATTACAAATAGAATACTATGCATAACATTTTTTGAAAGTTAGTACTAAGTTGTGATAAAAAGTACTAAATAATAAAATACAATGAAACTGGCAGAAATAAAAATCTGCATTTTTGTATGTAGCTTACGCTATTTCGAATAGAAAGCTATGCATAATTCTTTTGAAATTGGTACTAAATACTAAAGTATAATGAAACCGGAAGAAATATACATCTGCAACGCGGTACATCGATTTAATTATTACAAATACTATGCTATACAGTTATAAATTTTGGACATTAGCACTGTACAAGTATTAAATTATAATGGAAAAGTTAGGGATTGAAATCTGAAATTTAGTATGTAGCTTAACTATTACAAATATAGCGATATGCATAAATATTTTTTTTGGAAAATTGTACAAAACATTATACCACAGTGAACTCTCAGTACAAATAAAAGGCTTGGTATTTTGGAAATTCGTACTAAATGGCACCAATACAAAATATTCCACTGTGTGGGAAAAAGTATAATTCTGAAATTCGGTATGTGGTTTTATATATTATAAACAAATGGAATACAAATACTACTTGTCTGGAACTATGACAATAAACATTTATACCTAAATATTTTGCAGAAATAAGTTCTAAAATGTACTAAAAGGTACAAAGCTTTTTCTATGAAAAACAATGCTTTTCGCAAATTTTGTTTGACATTTGTTTTTGTATACGATAGAACGAGTAGAGGTAGAGTCCTGAAATTTTGTATGTATATTTAGCCATAAAAAATTAAAGAAGTTTTTTTTTTTCGAAACAAATGGTTGTTCTGAAAAAAGTGTTGTAGTAAAATGTACTAAATACGAAAAATTAGACACAGATATCCGAATTTTAGTATTTATCTTTGACTATGTCAAATAAAATGTATGGACATATTTTTCGAAAATTATTACTAAAAATTACTGACAGTTACATGAAATATAGTTTCCATTCCCACATTGATCTATACTAAAGCGAAGGATTATGTGAATGTTGGTTCATATACAAATAAGTGAAACTATGCAAACAAGCCGCTGAACACCGCAAGTACTAAAGTGTTGGCAATTTTAAACTCAAATGTTTCAATTTTGATGGAATTCTTAAATAAATGGCAGGTATCGGCATAATAAATTATGCGCTGTGTAAAATATTATAATACAAATTCGAACTATAAGGTTACACAAGTACTAAAACATACTACATATTTCACCATAAGTATTAAATTACCAAAAGGAATAAACAAGTATAAAAACGTATTATGGTTCTACACTGCGTATCATAACTATAGACGCACCCTTAATTCAATTGGTATGTTAGTTGACAAATAAAATGGACCCATTAAGTTATTGTTCACAATAAAACGATCAAAAACACATATTATTCAACAAAAATAATTAATTTATTCTTTATGGTTTCGCCAAATTCTGCCCTTTCAAAATTGCTGGTGTTGCATAACTATAGACGCACTTTTACAAAATTACAAAAAATTATTTTTTAAAGCTTAAATAAAATAAAATAACTTGCTAAAAAACGAGTCCTTGATTGTTGCTGCTTTCCCAAAATGGCAACAATTTGTCTTCCAAGACTTGAACGTACTCCATTGAAGACAAATTATTGCCATTTTGGGAAAGCAGCAACAATCAAGGACTCGTTTTTTAGCAGGACAACGCACCAGTTCATAAAAGTGGCCATACTCAAGTATGGTTAAAATCGAAAAATATTAAAATTTCCGACCAGAATCCGACCGAGAACATGTGTGGAATCTTGACTCGTCGTGTCTATGCAGAAAGCAGCCAATACCAAACATTATTTTATTTCCAAGAAGTGATTATCGATGAATGGCGGTCAATCGATGAAGACTTGCGAATAATTTTGATCAACAGTGTGATGGATAAAATTTTTGAACTTATTCAAAATAAGGAAGGCCCTACCCATTATTTATAAAAGTTATTTTATTTTATTTAAGCTTTAAAAATAATTTTTTTGTAATTTTGTAAAAGTGCGTCTATAGTTATGCAACACCAGCAATTTTGAAAGGGCAGAATTCGGCGAAACCATAAAGAATAAATTAATTATTTTTGTTGAATAATATGTGTTTTTGATCGTTTTATTGTGAACAATAACTTAATGGGTCCATTTTATTTGTCAACTAACATACCAATTGAATTAAGGGTGCGTCTATAGTTATGATACGCAGTGTATTTGCATTAGTCTATCGGGAGGATCGAAAGAAATGCAGAGTAAAATATGAGATTTTCTTAGAATTTTTAGGATATAAAACCTATAACTAAAATGTTTCAAATTTATACTTAATCCAAAAGTATATTGTATAGCTAAATTAATGTTTATTTATTTCAACTTTAAAAAGATACGCTAACAACGTAGCGGGCCTATGCTAGTATGACATATGGTCTGTTCCAGTACTTTTTTAATAGTAGAAATCTCAAATATAATCCACGTCAAATATAATCCACTGGATTAAAGGCGCGTTTAGACTACACGTTTTATCGTGATAATCTGCATTATCTCGATTTAATTGCTAAATCGAGCTGAATTTACCTCGATTTACCATACAAAATTAAATCCACTTATTATCTCGTATGAAAAGTACTAAATGATACTCAAGTTGGTACAAGTTGGATTTACGTGAACAGATAGAGCTAGAGTCTTTAAATTTGAAACTAAAAAGACAATTTGAAAAGAAAATCAAATTTTTATTTATAATTTTACAACAATTTTTCAACTTGGTGGGCATCAAAATTGCATCAGCGTGCATGTTTGATGCTTGTCTCTTTGCCAGATATGGAAAATCGAAAGTCGATCTTGAAAAGTCGACTTTGCGATTTTCTCAAATATCAAAACAAATCGATTTTTCGAAAATCGATTAGTCGAAAGTCGATTTACTTATCCCTATGAACGGCACAACACACAACTGTCACAACTGTAGTAGGAAGGAAGGAGTTTAAAATCGATTTTTGTGGTGGCTTGAGAAAAAAGTTGGTATGCAAAAAGTTGAACAAAGTTTTTGAGAAAAAATTGAAAATGGATGCGTAAGTGGAACTGGTCATATTTTATAAGGAATGGTAACGATGTTTCTATCAATTCATATAGGCTTTTCGACGAAGTAGAGTCTCTGGAGGCGATTTTGATGGAGGATGTAACAATACAACGAGATGGAGAAGGGTAAGAGTGTAAATTTTACAATGAGTAGAAATTTTCTAGATACAGGAAGTTTCAGTCGGAGGGTGCGTTTTACTTACTTGTTTGGCTTAATTTATTTTTTTACTAGTGTTCCAAAATTGATTGAAACAACTGTTTTTCCTGTGGTTGGTGAGGATTCTGATCAGCAATATGTCTGTGTAACATTGCAAGTCCTGCCGACACCTGGCTATCCTGATGTTAGTCCCGAATACAAGTTAGTCCGGCCACGAGGTTTGGACGATTTGCGTTTGGTTGAAATAAAAGCTGCCATAGAAAGTAAACTTAAAGAATCCGTTGGATTTCCTGTAGTATTCGATTTGATTGAATTGGTGAGGGAGCATTTAACTGGAAGTAATCTACCAAGCGGTCAGTGTGTCATTTGTCTCTATGGATTTAGTGACGGCGATGAGTTTACACGGACTGAGTGCTTCCACTATTTGCATAGCTATTGCTTGGGTCGGCATTTGAATGCTTTGCGACGAAACTATCAAGAGGAATATAACAAGCTTCCTGCTTGGCAGCAAAAAACAGCGAAACCCTTCCAAGCTCATTGTCCTGTATGCCGGGAAAACATTACGGATGAGAGTGATAGTCTCAGGTGTGCTATGCCTCCTGCTGAATTAGAAAATGCTCCTGATTTCGAACCGTCCCCAGAATTAAGGGAACTCCAACAACGAATGTCTTCTTTGTTCTTGCATCAAAAGAGTCGCGGTGCGATCATTGATTCAGAGGCTGAAGGTGGAGCAGTAATTTCTATCGAAACTGAGGAAGAAATTCGCCGACGTTTACAACGTAAACAAGAAGAGGCAGTGAATGTCGAAAGTTCTGAAAGTAGTTGCAGCAATATTAACCTTGAGCTGGGTGGAGGTTGTGGTAGTAGCAGTGGTTCGGCAACACCAGAAACTGTATCATTGGCAGAGCAACAACAGAAGGTGAGATATAAATTATTGTAAATCCTCAGAATAGCTATTAAAAAATTAGGGTACAATTAATTGTTTTGTATTAGGCAGTAAACAAAATATCGATCTGGCTTTATTTGTATTTATTTTGATATTTCTTGATGGACAACCGATCAATTTGGCATTCTGTTTCACCGCCATAATACATTTTCTGTCAGAAATTGGTTTTCTTTCATTAGCTTAGAGTACTTTTTTATTTATTTTGGTTACCATTGATTACAAAGGTTCCAAACATGATTTATGTTTAATATCATTATTGCTGACCATGTAATTTTGAATAATTTTTCAATCTTTAGAAAGTGATTTTATATTTTTATATTTTATATTTTTATATTTTTTAACAGACCTACAATTTATTTTAATATTTAATAACATTTTTGAGACTTGTAGAATATAAATACCAGTTGTTTTACAACGCTAATATTGACTTTATTTTTTATATACAGGAAGCCAATGGATCTAATATAAAAACGAATTTCGCACCTATTGTGCAGCAAACTCAAAGGGATGATCCTACTAATAATAATTATCATCATGGAAGGAGGCATTTTAGAGGCGGCAGACGGCATCATAATCACCACCACCATCATCAATCTCAAAGGGATCGTGAACGCTTTGAGCACAATCACATTCCATCAACGTCATCGTCATCATCAGCAGCTGCTGGTAATTCATCTAGTCATTCCGGTGCTTCGCAAGTGGCACAACCACATAAGCAGGGAAAGGGGCACGCAGCCGGTCACGGTCATTCCAGGTGACGATGGCCTCTCTACAAACATATAGAGCACAACGGTGAGGCGTTCATCAAGATGTTGCTCCTGCTGCTACCTTCTTCAGTCCTATTGCCATTACAACTTTGCTAATATAGTACATAGAACAAAAATTTATTATTTTTGTTGTTGAAATGACAATACTTTTGTTATTCTATTTTTAGTTAGATTTTACAGCGATAACTTATTTATTTTAATCATAGTTTTGATTAGTAATTATTTTAGGACAACATTGCACGGAGAGAACTTTAACGAACCTTACCCATTCAAACAAGAATGTTTATGGTAACTATATCTCGTCCAAAAATTTCGTTGCAATATGAAGTGTTTATTTTTAGTTAAAAAATATTTAGTAATATTTTGTATAGATTTTTATATACTGAAGCTTGCAATGAGCACATATTATTTTTTGTTTATCAAAAAACGACTGAACTTTACGCGAAGGTAGACATCATTTAAGTGGCATCTGATTGAATTAGCCTCATCATATTTGGCCCATAATAATTGATATTAATATTAAATGTGAACAAGTTGAAGGAGTCTATTATCATTATACTTACTCAATATGTCAGTAGAAAGTGGCAATCGGTCACGAGCACAAACAATTTAAAGACATCCTTTTTAATAACAACAACAACAAACCAATTTCCAATTAAAAGTCCACAACAAGAAGACATTTCGATATTCCCTTATACGAGAAAACAAAAATAATATTGAATGTAGTATGTTTGAATTACGTGTCAAAACTAAAATACTTAAATAAAATCAAAATAAATGCATCCCACTAAATATATTTTGTTTTTGGTTTGATCGAAATAACAAATCGAAATAGAAATAACAATATCTTCATGCGTGTCAATTGAAAACGGCGAAAATGAATGAAGGTTAGGTTAGGGATGTACGGTTGTTGTAACAACCGTCCACTCGGAAACTATGTCCATTGTAATCATCCTTTATGTATAAGTATACCTATAAAGAAAAAAAAAGTGGAAGAGTAGAGAGAAAAATAGTGAGAAAAAGGGGGCGGAAGAGAGATTATTTTAGTCAAGTCAATTTTTTGACAAAGCCTAGGATTTGGTTAGGGTCTATTTTGGAGAAGAAGACTAGATTATCAATTTCATAAGATCCAAACTGTTTATGTCTTCTGCTGATCAGCGATGGACATTTGCAGAGGATGTGCTCAATTGTTTCCAGTTCTTCTTCGTCCTCACATAGACGAAAGTAATCCTCTCCACTGGAGTCCCACTTAGAAGTGAGAGATCTAACTTTGCAGTGACCAGTAATAATCCCCACAACGATTTTGATGTCCCTCTTGCTGTGATCCAGAAGCGAAGATGTTCTTTTACAAGAGAATTCTGGCCAGATAGATTTAGGATTCTGCAAGCAGGTTCCCTTAGCCATCTGTTACCAACTACTTCGCAATGGAACGCACGGATTCTGCCAATGAAATAACTAATGGGGTTTCACAGATCTCTCAATCAGAATACTGGACGACTGTGACCTCCCTCGAGCAAGCTCGTCGGCTATCTCAGCATAGCCAAACTATTTGTCGTATATCATTCAGAGCGGTCTTACAATCATGAACTGCTTTCGATTTTATTGTATGCGACTTCACCGCTTTCAGGGCCGCCTGACTATCTACATAAATAGTCACCGGTCCCGTAATGTCGGCATTAATTGCTTTTACTATCTCGGCCGCTTTCGTGATTGCGAGAATCTCTGCTTGAAAAACGCTATAGTCATTGTTGAGTTTATATGAGTTCTGTATACCTAATTCCTACGCCTGCGCCAGTGCCTTCCTCCATCTTGGACATATCTGTGAAGATTGACAGACCTGGCAGAGGTAGGGAGCCACTAGTCCAGGATTCCCTACTAAGAAATTTAACTTTGATGTCATTAAAGTCCCTATGGGGGGAATATAATCACTGATATGACTATCCCCCCTAAAAAGGTCATAACCTGGAGTTATGTTTAGGATGCTGGCATGACCATAGTTCAGCGATTTCAAGGCATCTGTTTCCCGGAGTCTCAGGGCACACCTGGCCGCCTGGAATTTGATCAGAATATCCAATGGTTGGAGTTTCAAGATTGCATTCAAGGCTGTCTGTGGTGTACTTCTTAATGCTCCGGTGATCAGAATTGAAGCCGATTGCTGTACTATGCTCAGTTTTGTCAGCAGCTTCTTTTTGTTCACCCCCTCCCACCAGACAAGACAACCATAAGTAAGTATGGGTAAAACAATCGTCGTATACAGCCAGTGTATAATTCCGGGTCTCAATCCCCAACTCTTGCCTATGGAGTTCTTGCATGAATAGAGTGCCAGCAATCCCTTCTTGGAGCGTTCCTCAACATTCCTATTCCACAGTAACTTGTGGTCTAGGATAGTGCCAAGATATTTAGCTTCATCAGAAAGGGTTAAAGTCACTCCAAGTGATGGCAGGCGGAAACTAGGAATTTTGTGCTTCCTAGTGAAGACCACCAGTTCGGTTTTAGTGGGGTTTACACCAATACCTTTGGTGCAAGCCCAATTTGACAGAGTTGAAAGGACACCCTCCAGGATGTCTGATATTGTCGTTATAAACTTACCCCCAACCAGCAAGACTACATCATCGGCATAGGCTACAACCTTTATCCTGGTATGATTGAATTTCATAAGTATATCATTTATCACCAGAAGCCACAATAGGGGGGAAAGTACTCCTCCCTGAGGTGTGCCTCTGTTGACAGATTTCCTCACGGAACTCTCTCCTAAGGATGAGTTGATAATTCTGGTGTCCAGCATTCTATCAATCCATTCCGTAAGGAGTGAGGGGATACCTATGCCTACGAGAGCAGAATGGATTGCCTCTAGCTTCGCATTGTTGAAAGCTCCTTCGATATCAAGGAATGCTGCCAACGTGTAGCCAGAGGACTCCATATTTTTCTCGATACATCCAACCACCTCATGCAGAGCTGTATCCACTGATCTGCCTTTGATGTAGGCATGCTGGAATTTACTAAGATTACTACGGTCAATGGTATTTCTAATTTCTGAGTCTAGTAACCTTTCTAAAGTTTTTAGTAGAAAGGAAGGAAGGCTAATCGGTCTATAGTCTTTAGGTAACGTACTCGGCTTCCCGGCTTTCGGGATGAAGGTCACGGTAACCTCTTTCAAAAGACTTGGTATGTATGACAGAAGTAAACAAGCTCTAAAAATGTCCTGCAGAAATGATATTATACGTTCATCTGCGTGTTGCAGCATGGCCGGTATTATACCATCTGGACCAGGAGATTTATAGGGTTGAAAACTGTTTATCGCCCATATCAGTTTTGGGTATCTTATATCATCTTCTCCTCTTCTCTCGTCCGAACTGTAGGCTGATGCACACACTGCGCATCTTCCCTATAGTCCTTGCAACCAGGAAAGTGGGTTGATGATAGAAGATCAATAGTCTCACTACCAGAGTTTGTCCACGTACCATCACTTCGCTTAATACTTCCTATGGATTTTGGATCCTTAGATAGTACTCTGCGGAATCTGGCCGCTTCGTTGACTCCTTCGATCGACTCACTATAGCAGACCCAAGATTCACGTTTAGCTTTCTTGATTTCGCCCTTGTACCTATTGAATTGTCTTTTATAAACATCCCAATCTGTACTGAGCTTTGTCTTACTAGCTCTATTATAAGCTTTCCTTGCAGCCTTCCGCAAAGTTGCAAGGTCTTGTGACCACCATACCAGCTGAGATTTTTTCCGAGGGTATGTTAGGGAAAAGAAGCCTCAAAGCTCTCCAGAAGAGTGGCCGTGACATTTTTCACAGCTAATTCAACATCCTCAGTCGTTTTGAGATCATTACGATGAATGAAACAAATTTTTTTAATGGAACGAAAAATATTTTTTTTTAGAAGATGATGAGTTATATTGGACCACGTTTAGGGTACCGCCCAATTTTCGGTCTTTTGCGGTTCTTGAGCGCGTTTGTGAACAGAATTCGCTGAAATTTGGTACAATGGGCTCTTATTGGACACCAAATTTCTTCACTAAAACTTATAACAGTATCCCCCAATTTTCGGTATTTTGGTGTTGTTCATGGTTTTTTTTTGACTAAATTCGCTTTAATTCGTTATTTTGTTGTTCTTGTTGTAACAGGTTGGCTTTTGATGAAAGTTCTTTCCTGAAAAATGTTGATAGAAAAGAAAACGGAAGAAGGAAAATATATTAATTAATTAGGAATTCGGATTTGAAGATGGTAGCCGGAGAAATTGTGCCACCTCTATTGGATTTAGCCATAAGTCTATGGGCAATAGACTCGTAGGCTCGGACGGACAATTGAATAAATGGTGTGTGTCGTGAGGGCTTTGCTGGCAGGAGGGACAGCTGTTTAGGGTTCCGGGGACAATGCGCTCTCGATACGAGTTGAGTACATTGCTGTATCCGGACCTTAGTTGTGTCAGAATTTTTTTTTTCGGTCCCGTGGGGGCGACCTCCCTATATCGAAGGGAACGCGAAACCCCATAGTCCGGACTATGGAGGGGTTAATAAATGGTGGGATGACCGGCTACATATTTTATCAGCCGGCATAGACTACTATAAATAAACACATATATATTTAAAGTAAATACAGAATCACTCTAATATTTAAAAACTACACATCTGGCACTCTGCTACATACGCAATAGTAATTTTTTTATTATATCTAATGGTTCAGTCAGTGATAAGCTACTATATATATTGTTAAATATTTCACACAAAGTTCGCATTGGACTACTAGCTCGAACATCTGGCAGTGACTCTAGTAGAGGATTCCTCATTGATGGAAGCGAAATCGGACTCGTCTATCTGGTTTGCAATAAGAACACCGCGAGGATCATTTGAAATCGCCAAGAACAAGTTTATTATCTTCCTGCAGCAGATGGATGATGCTTGGATGATAACTAGCCCCAATATTGTTGACGGGCGGAATATATACATTGACAATTTCAGCATCGTCGGAATGAACTGAAATGCTCAAAACCTCCAGGAAAGGATCAGACTGGGAAGGAGAGGGAGGGGTAGTCAGAGTATATCTGACATCTCGCTGGATGATGAATGCGAGTCCCCGCCATGGTCTCTATCTCTGTCTCGCCGAATGATATTGTATTTCCCGGAGGAGGATAAGGAACAACTACTGGTCAGCTTCGTTTCTTGCAAGGCTGCAATGAGGATGTTGTTTTCATGCATAAACTTTGTGATCTCAATTACCTTATTCCTAAGACCATTA